AGCCACATGGCAGGGCAAATTTCCTGCGCATTGTTTCTTTTTATTTTTTATTTTTTGCCGCATAGTAGGAGCAAATTTCTCACCCCATTTTTTCTCTTTATTTTTTTATGTTTGTCTAATATGTACTCTAAAAACATATATTAACGGTGTATAAATACATTTTTTTGTCATAAATTTATATTGAAAAAATAAAAATCACGATTTAATTTATTAACTATCCAATTAAATTTACCTGATACTAAAATTAATATCACCTTTTATATTTTTCTATATGCGTTTATAGTAAAAAAATATTCTTAGAACACAGGTTAGAAAAGTCCCTTTTTTTCCACCATGTACCTTTAATTAAAATAAAATGTGTCATTAGAAAAATAATAAAATTAAAATATAAGCATTTTTAAAAATGATTTTTTTTCACAAATGTTCTTAAAATACAAATTAAAATATATTTATTATATTTTTTCAATAAAAATATATAAATAAACTTTAATTTTTTTAACCAACCAATTAAAATCGTCTAATATTGAAAAAAAAGTTTATTTCTATAATTTTTCATACAAATTATTAAAAAAAAAGTAAAATAAACCCACAATCAATTTGTATTTTTAAAATACATGTTAAAAAAACTTTTTAAAAATAATATAATATTAAAATAAAAGTCTTTAGTCTTTAAAACACTAAACAAAAATAATATAATATAATATTAATACTACATCTACTCATTTAATAATATATAAAAATTATATAAAAAAATTATAAAAATATTATCATTATATCATTGCCTTTTTTATATGGGTAGTAATATAGAGATAGCCTTTTTGTGCCAACCTTTTGTACCACCCTTTTGTATAATTTTCATATGTCATTATATGAATAATTGTATTTAATATTACGCGTTCCAAATGAATGCTAATAGCCAATCATTTAAATGATGCATAAGGTTGTACCAAATGGTGATAAAAATATTGTCTTAAAATGTGGTACAAAAAAATTATCCCTAAATCATTTTCAGATTTAGCCTTAAATCAAGGAAGCGGGAAATTTTCCTTCCATTTTTTAGGCCAGTTGTTAGCTTATATGGCACCACACAACAGCTTATATGGCGTCACGCAATTAGAATCATGAAGCTCCGTAAATGTGGTTAACGGTGGTTAATGGTGTTGTGTGGGGGTAGACGAGAACGAAATGGTTTTGAAAGTTAATAAATGAGTTTGAAAGTAAAGTATTTGGACTAAAATGAAAAAAGAGTAATAGTTAGTAGATAATTTATTAAATTAATCCATCCTTTAATTAAAATAACTTTATTTACTAATTATATATTTAACAGGATTAAAAATCTTATAGGTAACAAAGTGATTAGCTCTACTAGATTAACATGAAAATTTATATGCACGATCTCTATAAGTAGAACTTTTAATCCAATAATTGGTTTTTGAAAATATGAATCAAAAAATAAGTTTTGAGATATGTCTTCCAAAAAGAATTTAGGAAGATGACATGTAAAATACTTCTTCCATTTATATATATATATATATACATATAGAAATTAGTGTGTATTAGTTCTGAATTTTTTAAAAAAATTTAGAATCTCAACTTATATTTAAAAACTAAAATTTTAATGCAAAATTTAATTGTTAGTTTTTGAAAATATTAATTAAAATGTGAATTTTTAGACAGATCCTCCAAAAAGAATTTAGGAAGATGACATGTAAAATACTTCTTCCATTTATATATATATATATATACATATAGAAATTAGTGTGTATTAGTTCTGATTCCAAAAAAAATTAAAGTTCTAATTTATATTTAGAAATTAAAATCTCAATTCAAAATTTAAAAATCTAATCAATTTTTAAATTTAAATATCAATATTTAATAAAATAAAATTTTAAATTTTAAATTAAATTTTAATTAAATAAAATGATGTAATTTAAAATTAGGATTCTAATTTTTTTTAAGAGTTAGGATTAATATTCATTTTTCCTATATATATACACATAAATAAATTATGTCTCTTGTGCCCTAAAAGAGGCTAATATTATGTTGGGTCTGTTAATTATTGACAATGATAACTTCAGTCTAGAAAATTTTATTTTTTATAGATAAGAGAAAAATTACATCAAGATGATGAGATTTCATTTACACAAAACCAATTATAGAATAGACGAGTTCCCATTGGCATGCATCGTAATCCAGTAGGAATTAAACCTACAAATTCGACAATTATGAGTTTGACACTTTAGCCATTCTGATTCAACCATGGACGTTCAACAGGGATCCTCGTACTTGGTAAATAACCAAATATCAATGAAAATGAAATCTTTAGAATAAATCAATGCCTGATTTTTTATGTTAGAACTATAAACGGACATCAATTCAAATTCTAGATTTTTGAATTAATTAAGAGAGTGCAAGCGTAGTAAAATGATATCACTTAGACGCTATGCGATGCAATAAATTGCATTTCAATGATAAAAAGTGATTATAAAATACTTGAAGTGTGCATTATCAATTGCTCGGATAAGAAGAAGTTAAGAAAACAATGAGACTTAAAAGGTTTTTTTTTTTTTTTAAACAGAGACTTGTTGTCAATTATGAGTTCAAAGGTAATTTTTTATGGAAAATAGAGATCCTATTAAAAAGTAAAAATAAATTACATCAAAATCTTTATATAGTATGACAGTATAGTCTAAGACTACTGAAGCATAACCTACAAAGTTAAACTATATCTACGATGAATTTAGACAATTAAGTGTAAATAGTCATCTTTAATTAGGGATTAAAAGCAATTGCGATAAAGGCAAAGATAAAGGAATTTATGTAGGTAGATTATCCTATTAAGCGGTCAAAATTTCTCAAAAATCCCACAAAAATTGCCAACTCTTGGAGAGAACAAATAATCCTACAGTTGACAATCTTCACCCCCTAACTATTAATCTTTCTCTAAGCTAAACAAACCTTAATCTCCCATCCACCTACAGCCTATCATGCCACTTACAATCTTTGCCCTTGATCTACCAACCGCCTTCAAGTCCAAGTTCATTTGCCACCACTGATTACCATCCTTCAAGCATCCCATAGAACTGGATAAGGAGGGACTCAAGATACTTTAAAGAAAATCGCCTTAAACGATAGTAGATTTACATTAAGTGAAAGAATGGAAAGGGAATAAAGAAGCAGAAGAGAAAATATGAGGTCCAAAACCCAAAAGGGAACCAACGAAGGAGGAAAGAAGTAGGCAAAAAAAAAAAAAGGAACATACACTCACACATATATATATATATATATATGTATATGCCAAAGGGAAGGGGAAAAGAGATAGAGAGGAGAAATAGATTGAGAGGAGGTGAAAAGACCAATGAAGGAAGTAGGAAAGATGGGGGCAACTGTGGACTTCTGCCGACTGCCACTGTTTCCCCTAGCCTTCCAAGACGGTTTTTTTGTTTTTCTAGGGGCAAAATTTTCAGAAGGAGATGGTAATTTCTTATAGGTTTTTTTCTAATATATGTTCTTAGGATACAAATTAAGGGTATAACTAATTTACTTTTTAGTCATTAACTCATATGGAAAAACAAAAAAGTTGATATTAGTTTTAGCATCAATGCCACGTATCTTAACTTAATTGGTTAGTTGTTAAAATTAAAGTCAAAATTTTTTTCCATGTAACTTAATAACAAAAAAGTACATTAATTACTTTTTTAACCTATATCCGAAAGACACCTATATCCTAAAGACACATATTAGAAAAACCTTTCTTATAATAACGTGGTATTGCACAGTTGCTAAAATGGAATTCCATTATAAAAAATATTGGATATGCTTTTGAAATTCTAAGACTAATTTGGGAGAACCTTACATTTTTCAATGAATGTAATAACAAGCTAATAATAATTAAGAGTAGTGATAGAGATGACAAAAATTCAAGACTAATGATGTGGTAAGAGTTATGTTATTAAAAGAGTTGACACATAAAATATCATAGGTCCCAATAAAGTGAAAAGAGTCAATCATTCAATAATATATATTATTTTAAATGATGTGGCTTATACCATGTTATTGGTCTCAAATTTTGATCCTTTTATCATTATTCAATAACTAATGCAAAGTATATATCCATTAAAAGTATAATATCTCATGCCTCTCCCTTCTCTCACCCTGATGTTCTCTTCTTTCTTGTGTTTTCTTCTTTTCTTGAGCCGTCGCTATCTCTCTCTCCCTTGGTGGTTAGGGTAGATAGCTAAAGTAAGGAGTTCTATCCTCTCTTGTGAGGGTTTTATCCTTTTTTTATGGAGGTTTCTCCCACTTTTGAGAGGGTTTCTACCCTAACTTTCTTGATTTTTTTTTTCAAGTTTCACTCTTATTAGGGGAGAATGTCAACTTGCACATGATATTAGTTGGATTCAAATTATTTGTCATGCTTGTTTTGGCGGTTGAAAGCATGATTAGGGATGGGGTCCCTAACTAAATTTTTTGACCCCAACTAATTTATCTTTTGTTGAGATGGATTATGCTAGAATACCGCTTAATCCCTAAATCTTAAACTCAGGTCTAGTTACAATATTCATATCAACATTAGATTATTTGATTTTGTGTTTTCACACATTTTATGAATGTAATACTTCTAGTATATTATCACATTCAGGTTAATCCTATGACCCTTTTATATTTCTCATAAAAAAAAGTTAAATACCCTTTTTGGGCCCTCCATTATCGAAAAAAGCTCACTTTTAGTCCTTATACTGAAAAAATCTCTTATTTGGTCCTTAAAGTTTAAAATTCGGCCCCTTTTAGTTCCTCCATTAATTTTTTGCTGACTTAGCACATTAATTAATGGAATTACTTAATTATTTTTTATATAAATGATATTATAAATGACATGGAAATTAAGTAGATAAAATTATAAATCCATGTAAGCATTTCATCTAAAAAATTTGGACCACGTGTACGAATTAAAAAGTTCACTTTTTAATTATGGATTAAATGAATTTAAACATAAATAACAAATATAATTAACTTTAATTTCTTCATCTACTTCTTTCTCCTCATCCTTATCCTCGTCCTCATCTCACCCTCATCCTTGAGCATCATCATGTCATCGTTTATCTTCACCATCCTCTTCATCATCTTCACAATCCTCTTCGCCATCCCTTTCTCCATGCTCTTCATCATTGTGGGTGCCGCGAGGAACCCAGTTTCTGGGTTGTGGAACCCAGATTTGGATTCCTCAAAGAACCCATATATGGCTTCCTCGAAGAATGGGTTCCTTGTGGAACCCAAGTTTTGGATTTATTACAAAACTCCAATCGTATTTGATATTTGGGTTCGAAACTACAGATGATAGATTTACATTGCTTTGTTTATGTTGCTATGAACTTCATAACTTGGTGCATTCATTATCTAGATTCAATAGGAAGAAAGGGGTAAGAATCTGAAATTAGAAAAAACGTTAAGAGAATGATCTGTTTTATAGAGGAGAAGTTAGGGTTTATTAATGAAAATACACTACTGAAAATTTGACTTTTTTCAACCAACTATTGGTGACAAGTTGCAAAGGCTGTCAATCCTATTCACCAGCTCGAACGTTGGGCCACAGACACGTTCAACCCAGTTTGTCAACTGAACCCTGAGGGGGGAGTAATGTTGGAATATGCCCAACATTCAACTGGGGCTGTACATAATGGGCCTAGACTGCCGCCCATTAGCCCAAAGTGAGGGAACACCAGTACAACAAGTACAAGCATACCCACGTGGGCAGCACCACGTGGGCTAATGGAATGCTTACATGTACAGACACATGTCAACATTTGGGGCTATAAATACCCCCCAACTACCTCCGATGAAGGTAATTAACTTCTACGCCTCTCTCTCTGCAATTATTCTTTGAGAGCATCTTTCTTTAGAACATTGAGTATTGCTAACTTGAGCGCCAGAGTGCTTTCCCCGAGGAAACATCCTCGGGAATTTCAAGTGTGGAAGCAGCTGAAGATATCAACAGTGTTGGATCATGGAGCTGCCCAAACAGAGGCCATGGCGAGGATGGCTACAGTTCCAGGCTGAGTAACGTGTGTTGTGATCTTGCGGCATGAGAGGACCAGACACAGGACATGGAGATGCTGGTTCTTCGACATTGATGAGCAATTTGGGTGATAGGGAAAAACATGAGCTACTTGGGAAGCCGAGTGAAGTTAGGTTTTTCTCGTAGCCTTTTTTTCCACGGTAACTCATAAAACTAAGGGTAAAACTTTATTTTAGGGCCACTACTTTAATAGAAAAAATTTTTAGTCACTTTATTTAAAAAAAAAAAAAACTTTTTTTAGCTTTTAAAATTTATTATTTGCCTTTTTTTAAAGTTTTTTGTTATTTTTTTTACATGTGATATGTTAAATAATAGAAATTATAAAGTAGAGATATTAAAAAAAATTTTAAAAAATAGACGAATCAAAAAGAGATTTTTTTAATCCTTTTCTAATTTCTCTACTTTAAAATTTTTATCATCTAATATGTCATGTGTATGACAATATAATAAAGAGATTAAAAATGAGACAAATAATAAACTTTATAGATTAAAAAAGGACTCTCTCAATAAAATCACTAAAAAGAAAATTTTTTATTGAAATAGAAGGATCAAGATAGGGTTTTAACTT